TGATTTATTTGAATGAAGGGAGAACCATGCTGGCCAGGTTCACCTCGTGATCCTGCTGGGAACAGCAAAATTAACACACCAACAGCACAGGTTTGTGCCCAAAGAGGAGATACAGGAGTCCTTCTGATTTATTTGAATAAAGGGAGAACCATGCTGGCCAGTTCACGATGTGATCCTGCCCAGGAACAGCAAAATTAACCCACAAACAGCAGAGGTTTGTGCCCAAAAAGGAGACAGAGGAGTCCTTCTGACTTTATTTGAATAAAGGGAGAACCATGCTGGCCAGGTTCATGGTGTGTCAGGAAAATTAACCCACTAACAGCAGAGGTTTGTGTCCAAAAACAAGACAGAGGAGTCCTCACTCTATTTGAATAAAGGGAGAATCATGCTGGCCAGTTCACGATGTGATCCTACCCAGGAACAGCAAAATTAACCCACAAACAGCAGAGGTTTGTGTCCAAAAATGAGACAGAGGAGTCCCTGGGCTAACGGGATCCACTCCAGGCCCTGTTCCTGAAGGGATCCAGCCCCTGCCTTGCTCTGGCCCCTCCAGGATGCCCTGGGCTCCTCACCTGGTGCCTCTCGGTGCCGTTGACGCTGCGCCGCTGCCGGCCCCTCTTGGGGTACCCGTTGATCTTGCACTCGTAGCACGTCTCGGGGGACAGCAGGTTGTCCTCATCCTCCTCCTGGGGCGCAGGCAGGTAGGGACCCTTCCCAAACCCCAAGCCAGAAATGCAGTGCCTGGCGGCAGAAGAGCAGAGGGAATCCATGAATCCAACAGAAACGTCAGCAGTCCCGGGTTCTCCATGTGGGAAACACCCAGAGGGTCACACGTGGATGTGCCTTACCCCTGTCCTGCTCTGAAGTACCCCCCGGGGCAGCCGCACAGGTACCCCCCGTCCGTGTTGGAGCAGCCGTAGCTGCAGGGGCTGCCCCCGGCCGAGCACTCGTCCACGTCCTGGCAGCCCCCGAAGGCCTGGTCGAAGTCGAAGCCCGAGGGACAGACGCACTTGAAGCTGCCCAGGGTGTTGTAGCAGGAGGCAGAGCCGCAGGCAGAGGGGCTGGAGCACTCGTTCTCATCTGCAGGGAGACACAGAGGGGTGGAATGGGGGAGTCAGGGAGTCACAGAGCNGGAATGAGCACCTTTATCCCGGGAATGAGCATCTTAATCATGGGAATCAGCACCTTTATCCCGGGAATGAGCATCTTTTAGCACAGGAATGAGCATCTTAATCATGGGAATGAGCATCTTAATCATGGGAATCAGCACCTTTATCCCGGGAATGAGCATCTTTTAGCCCAAGAATGAGCACCTTTATCCCGGGAATGAGCATCTTAATCATGGGAATCAGCACCTTTATCCCGGGAATGAGCATCTCTTAGCACAGGAATGAGCATCTTTATCCTGGGAATGAACACATTTTATCCCGGGAATGAGCACCTTTTATCCTGGGAATCAGCACCTTTTATCCCGGGAAGCAGCCTCTTTTATCCTGGGAATTATCACATTTTATCCTGGGAATGAGCACCTTAATTACAGGAATCAGCACCTTCTGTCTTGGGAATCAGCACCTTTATCCCAGGAATGAGCACCTTTATCCTAGGAATGAGCATCTTAATCACAGGAATCAGCACTTTTATCCCGGGAATGAGCAGATCCCCAGCTGGGAGTGTCCTGGATGAGGGGGAGAGGTGGGAGCAGAGGGAGGGGAGTCCCTGCTCTTTGGCTTTTGGGAGCTTTGTGAGCTGTGGCTCGGGCTTGGTCCTCAGAGCAGAGCATCCCCAGAGGAGCTGATCCCACAGGGACATTTTCCATGGATAGATGCTGATCACAGAGGGACATTCCCCATGGTTGTCCTGACAGGTCTGATCCTAGCAGGACATTCCCCACGGCTGTCCCAGCA